AGATATACACAGCATGTGAGGCACTCTTGTCCTCAGCATCTCTAACCTCATCATAGAAAGCAGTGGGGTTGGTCAAGTACAATCTGTCCTTGCTAAATCTGTGCTGGTTATTTGCAGTTTAGCCGGAGACTGAGATGAGTCTGACTGGCCTGTATCTTCCTTCCTGGCCCAGACTGTTCTTGAAGGTGCCTGTTTGCTGCCAGTATAATTTGAGAAATCATCTGTGTTGGCTTTCAGTCAAGCTTTGGCATTTCTGACTTCCTGTAGTCAAGTACAATTTGGCATTACAGCTCCAGCTCAGAGTTTTTCCAGTCTGAACCATACATTACTGTTTATGGTTCACATCTTAGTCTTTTCTTTTTTTGGAGTGGTGGTGGATCTTTTAACCATATGATTTCCTTTAAGCAAACAAGTTCCACAAAGATGTGACGTGAGTGATGGTAGTGGTAGCAGCTCTGCCCACTGGGGACAATATAGAAATTAATTCTTGGTCTCATTGTATCTATTTCTGGAAGAATCCTTCTGGCAATTAGAGTAGATAATGTGAATTATCTTCTTAACTTGTGTTCCTTCACATCCTTAACCTGACCTAATAAGGCCGTTAGCATATGTCGTTATATTTAGCCAATCCTGAGATAAAATACTGTAAAGTTATGTTACTAATTTAATATTTTAAAGTAACTTTCTCATCTATATAAGGATTGTTGCTTATTTTGGAATGTTAGATTGCATTATGTAATTTTAAATAAAATAACAATTAAAAAAAACATATCAAATACAACAGTACAGTACTACACTGTGTCCAAAACTGCTTCATCTCGAAATAAGTGTTGTACATGCATCTATTTTGGGGCACTGTCACAATTGTGCTGCTAATAGCACAGATATAGAATAATATTGCCAGATAAACAAAAAACTGCAGTGATTAATTTTATACCCAGGGTACTAATAACTGTACTGTTCTACAGTAAACAGAAAGAACTGGATTGTGCATGTTCCTATGTACACATTCAGTATTTACATATATGAAGAATATATATACAGTAGTTTAAACATCAAGAGACAGCCTACTTGCTCTCCGTTGGAATTAGACTAACGTAACAAATTTCTGTCAAGATATACATTGAGAATCACGAGTGGTAGAAATTGCACTCAAAGCAAAGTTGATGATTCTTTGAATTCATTAAGTGGGATCAGATTTCTTCCGCAAACAAAAGGGAACTTTCTAATAATTCCTTGCTCCAGTATTGGACAAGAAAGCAAAGAAGTATAAGCTGCTTGATCGGTAATCAGAACTGAGATGTACAGTAAGATAGTTTCTTGATGTGCCAGTTTACTGTTTTTAGCCACTTAGGACAACACTTTTCTTTACTTGATAGAGTCTGGGGCTTCCTCCTACTCTTCCTTCCCCAGAGTTTTGCACTAGCAATGTGTGGAATAGATGCAATTTGTTAGTCCAGAAGCTGAACACAGAACAGTGTAGATTATCTCATTGGCTTGAGTTCAAGCTAGAATTAGACAGATTACTTTTTCTTACTTTAGGTCAACTAAGATGATACTGTCAAGAACAGACTTCTGTTTGTCGGCTCTTCTTTTGTCCCTGTTTTCTATCTGCTTGGCTAAACTAAGATATGAGTCAGTAAGAATTTATACATTTTTTTACAGGAAGTTAAAAATGAGTTTGAGAACGTCACTTCTTATTAGATTTAAGGAGATAGCTGAAAGTGGGCTAACAGCTTCTGTTTCCCATCAGCATCCGGCATGCTGAAGTGCCTCCTTTAAACATGAGCATGATTCCCAGTTCTTTTAGTTAGAATACAGTTTAGAATTAGGGTTTCAATGCAAGATGCAATCAGAAAATATTTGTGTCTGTGAAGTTGGCCTCTTGTTTTTCCTACTTAGATAAGTATCTATTCCACTTTCAAGATCTGGTTGTGAAATATGACTTCCTAGCCATTGCAGTTAATTCTGATGTTAAATAAAATATCTGTTTAGTGTTGAGAATAAGTGTTAGAAGAATAAAGGTTGGCTCCTTTCAAATAAATAAATTGTAATCCAGATTTTACTTTGCTTTTTGGAATACTGACGGAACAGGTGAGAGAAAAGGAAACAGTAGAACCTGACTTTTCAATCCAGGCTGTTTGACTGTGTTTTTTCACTTGAAAAGAAAATTTGCCATTGAAAATTCTTTTGCTTGTGACAGAAAGAATGAAAGTTAATCAAAATACTTATTTTTCTTCATCGACTTCAGTGCATAAAACACATCAAAATATAGCACATAATAGTACATATAGTGCATAATTTTGCCATTTTTCAGGGCAGTATTGTGCAGTAAGGCAGTGGATTTTGTTGCTGATAAACTGAAATTGCAATGACATACAGAATAGCTTTTAAACATTTTAATTACGGTCTAATTAAATTTTACTGTACTATGTATTTTAAGAAAGTGCCAACATATATTTACATTTAAAGGTTTGCACTTTTAAAAGTGAACTTCATAAGTTAAGTGAAGAGGCAGGGCAGTAATTGTGACTTTAGAGTATAAACCAATACTTGTCACCCATTCTGAGGCAGTTGATTAGACCAGCTTGTATAATGGAGCAGAGCAGGGGAAAGCATTACTCAAAATTCTTCTATCTCAAAGAGAGAGAGAAGCAGCAGGAAAATCTCAGCTAAGTAGGGTTAGGTGTGATTGCTGTTAGATTCATCCAACTGTTCACCAATTAAACCTTTTGGCATACAAAGCATATCTTGAGCTGAGGGAACAAATGGGACCATAGTTAGCAGAGAAGAAGAATTTCCAGCTGTGTGACCAGGAAGAATCAGCAAGAATTCTGCACTTATCCAGAAGAAACTTAATGGGCCTAACTTTTGAGAACACTGCATAATATTCTGTATTTACAAGGTGATTTCTTTATGTCCTCTAATATTTTAGGCTTATTTTGGGAAAGAAAAACTTACTGAACTTAAAACAATTAAAAGCAAAACAGACTACATTAAAGTCCTTCTCTTTAAGCCTTTTCCAAGAGTTTTCTTGTAAGTACTACAGGAGGCAAAAGAGTTGTTGGTTTTTTTTTTTTTTTTTAACATAGTCTGAGAGGAATGGATTGTTGAGTATTGCTTTATCTACCCCTTTATCTATTGGGCTGAGGTGGGCAAAGGGCAAAAAGATAAGGTGGAAGGAGATAGAAGACATTAAGTGATAGGAGAAGTTTTTTCATAACTCCCTGTACCCTGTCTTTCACTTGGATTGTTTAGATTTAGCATGTAGTAAGCCTGTAACTACCATGATATCAGTGGTTTAATTTGTACTTTTTAAATATGAGATTGGTACTCCAGTTGATACTGCTTTCCCATCCTACTTGTCATGCTAGTGAGGGCACGGTAATTTGAATGCTAAAATAATGTTTTTAATCACTTGAGAAAAGTGACACTTGCCTTAATTATAGAAAGGTCTGTACGTGAACACATTCCATTTACACTTAAAATTGAAGTGAAAGCGCAGATGTGTAGAATTAACAGAAAATTAAACTTGACATCTACTCTCAGCAAATTTTTAATGTGAGCCCACAGATGACATTGAATACATTTAGCTAAACATCATATTAAGAAAATGAAGAGAAAAAAATAAATGTTAAAAGTGCCCAAAGAGCAAAGACTAGTTTGCTTATCAATGCCTGGCTAGGGACATAACAGCTGCTGCCATTTAAACATCGCTACCCGACAAATGCAGTTGGATATACACAGTAAAAGAACCATGAGTGAGGAAGTGCTATTTTCTTTATAGTCCACAATATTACATGGCAAAACTTCAGTGTGAAAGCAGTTACAAAGGGTGGTCAGCAGCAGTGGGACAGCATCCAAAGCAGCTCTTTGAACGCCACAGCTGTTTCAGAGTTTTCTGCATCTTAAGCTTCAGCAGAGATAGATTATTTCTGAGTCCACCCTTTCTATCTTGCTGTTCTTTCTTTCCCTCTGCCTTGTCCCCAGACTTCACAGCACAATTACAATTATTCTGGGTCTGCAAGGCCAAGCATAAAGAATGAGGTGCTTGGGTTCCAGCAGGAGTGAGAGGGCAGGGGTGCCTGGACCTGTGGGGATAGGAGTGTAGCTGCTTGGGGGGCAAGAAGAGAGCTGGGAGAAAAGAGCAGCTGTCAGGGGAACACCTGGGGCTGTTCTTGCACGAAAGGAGAAACACTTCTCTATCTGTCAGTTGCTGTTTCAAACAAGAATTGGCAGCACCAGTTTTGAGTCCAAGCATAGCACAGCTGTACTTTCCTCACTGCATGTTTGCAGTGAAAGCAGTATCAGGGCTGAAGGTTTTGCTTAAAGATGGGTTAGAGACAAAGCTCTGACAGCTTGTCTGCTGGATTATGTGAAGGAGAAACTACTTCAGAAAGGCAGTTAGTTATGGGAGTGGCTCATTGCTGTTACAGCTGCTACATTAAATCCTTGCCACACTCCTGCTGACTTGCCTGCAAAATAATCTTGCTAATTCATGAGCAGTAAGCTATAATACCACATGTCTGTCTAGGCAATAAACTGCACACAGCTTCAAGATAGTGAATTCTGTGGATTTACTTGGGATCTTGTGTGAATGGTGATGAATCAGTCAGCTCTGCTGTGTCAGCCAACAGCAATGTGCAACAAGAACCATCAGAATGTGGTGCTAATTAGTAGATAGCAAAAGCCAAAGAAAAGTAGAGCAGAAGAATGTAAGAAAGCAGATTTTTAATGTGTTTCTTTTAGTGTCTGTGTGTTGTGAAGAGGAAAAACAACCTACAGTGGGAAACATGAAACAGCCTACTGTACAATTAACAAATGTGCAGTTAGAGTGGCGCAATTAGGATGGCATTTTACAGGTTTATAGTTAGAATGATTATCATGGTGGAAAGAGACAGTCAAAAATGAGATTCTCACCTGTCCTAGGCTTACAGTAGAAAACTCCAAAAGGAACAATGTCCAGAAAGAGATCCTTCCTAGTGGCAGTCAGCCCTTAAACAGGTCTAGGAGAGGTGCAGCCAGGCTCCACCCCTTCCAGTTGCACAGCTGAATTGCCTTCACCTGTGCTCCCATGGCTGGCTCAGTTCTTGCCTCAGGTGATCAATCAGTGGTTCAGGCCATGACCCAACAGTTCCCATATACCTACTAAAAAAAGTAGGTATCATTAAGAGGTGATATCTCATTAATTCTGTCACCAGCATCTAATCACCCCTAGTGATTGATGAGGCTTTTCACTGTGCTGTTTCAATAGGCAGCCCTATTCTGCAATTAATACATTGCTAAATCAATTCTATATCATGGAAAAAAGGCTACTGAATCTTATGTGGTGCTGCCTTAGCCCTTCATATTTATGGCCTTACAAAGAAAGACTTCTGCAGTGTATTTGTAGGTCTTGAGGCTTCAAAAATGAGATGTAGTGATGGCAAGGTAAACATATGGCATCTGAAGTGAAAGTAAGCAAATGTGGGTAAAACTAATAAGGTGGAACCACTGCTTGTCTGGAATGCAGAGCCTTCATCTGTGTGTGTGTGTGTGTGTGTGTGTGTGTGTGTGCGCGCATTGTATACATGTGTGCATCCTACAGGATTAAGGCCTGTATTAGTTCTATAGTGCTGGGTCACTGACCATAGTTGCTTGAAATTCAGTAACCAATACTTTGACAGTTCAGTTTAGAAGTTTGTCTTTTAAAAGGTTTGGGCAGCTGCTACTTAAATGCTGTTATGCCATCTCTACAGGCTTACATTTTCTCCTAGGAGTGAGAAATATTCTCCCTACAATTAAGTTCAGTAAGACTAGACAAAATGTCAGTAAATTTGTTAGTCTTTAAAATACAGCTTATTTGTAAAGAAGTTTGAAGTGGTGGGGTTTGATTTTTTTTTTAAATACTCCTACTAGTTCCATATTCCTTCTTAGAAAGTACTAATTGGCAGTAGCTGCACAGAAATATTTAAGTAGTAGTTGGACTTTTTTTCTGATATGGCAAAGGAGACTTAGTTTTCAATTTTATCCAGGAATTGTACTGCTGGAAATTTTAAGAAGCATGAAGTTGCAGGAAGCCTTATTTACAGTCAGCCTGAATTGAACTGTTCTGATCATTCCATCCTTTTGAGTTTCTCAAAATCCTTAGATTATAAACCAAGTGTGTAAGAATTGGGCCAGTATCTGTTGTACTTACTGCAGTGTGCTGAGTTGTCTGAGTTTTAAGAAATCCTATTAAAATACCAAATGAGATTTGAATCTCTGTAGCCATATGCTAAATTGCAGAGCTAGAGTGTAGGACAAAAGGTCACTGTTCTATCTGTTATGGAACTTTCTTTGTTAATTATGCATTCACCCATCTCTGAATATGCATCCCGCTATCTTGTTAATTAAGTTTTGTTAAGTCATTTAGAGTCCTTACCCCATATTTAGAACTTCAACTTTTTTCAAATTGTGCTTTTAAATGCACTGATATTTTGGTATAATAAGATCATGATTAAAAGTTATGTTCTATGTGCACATCTTGTTGTTGTTCAGTACTCTGTAGAGGTTTCAAAATGTGTACATTTCTGAGGGCATGAATTTGAGGACTCATCTTTGTGTGTTTGAATGTAGACTATGAGAGCTCCTGCCACTTCCCTATTGTATGTAGCTGAATTAAATTACTTTTCATTGTTCATAGGATTCTTAAACCTTTTTTTTGTCATTATGTAGTGTTTCCTGAGTTCTGTGCCTCAGAGAAAGAGCCAAAGTTTCCCTTCAGAGAAATAAGAAGTGTAGGCAGGTGCCCCTCATCCCTCACATCAAAAACTAAAAAAGAACTCCCTGCAAGTATGGTGCTAGATCTTTGCTTGTTTTCTGAATGTCAAATTGCAAGACAAGTTTATTTAAATACTTTCTTAGTGTTACTTGTTAACATTGAGTTGTCTGTGTTTCTTTCAGGGTGTCATTTGATCAGTGGTAGGAAAGGTGTAAATTAGACAAAAAAATAGAAAAGTTGAGAACCTTAGGGCTGGAACAGTTTTCGTGGCCTAAAAATTCTCATCAGCTTCAGTTTCACACTTTTGGGATTTGGCTGAAATGCATTTTCCTTATTGAACTATGGAATAGAATGAATTAACATTACATAATCTTTGTTGGCTGCATTGCAGCATTGAAAGTCCAAAACTGTGACAGTGCAGTCAGGTTGTCACTGTATTGCTTTTTTGTTACACGTGCATGCATACACACACAAACACCTATGTATGTGTGTACGTATTTCTGTGTGAAGATTCTTGCATTGCAATGTATAACAGCACAGTAACCTACATTCCCTTCAGGCTGTTTTATGGGAGAATTATGTGACACACCAGTCCTAAAATCCACCAAACCCACAGCTGCTCTCACAGTCAACTTCAGCCATATGAAGTATTTTCAAGACAGCATTTTTCTTCCTTCCTATCTGTATAATCAATGAACTTACAGATGTTATTTATATATAATTATGAAATATACCAGAAAGTTTTGGTAAGTAATTATTACACCAAAAGAGAATAGATAGAATGCTTACCTGTGTCCTAGGCTCATTGTAAAATTCCAAAGGAGGGATCTCCAGAAGAGATCTTTTCCCACTGGCAGTCAGCTCTTAAATGGGTCTAGGTGATAAAGGTGATAGTTGCATCTGCATTGAGAAATGGGAAACAGTAGTTAAAAGAAAAGTACTCTAACATTGGCTAAGGTGAACTGCTAGCTCACAGTGTAAATTGATAGCAAAATGCTTTTTTTATAGAATACATCGATTTCCTGCCTAGTTAAAATGTATCAAGATTTTGAGTAATTATAAATATTGCTTTGGAGATTTTCAAGCTGTACATGTATTAATGACTCTTTTCCTATGTGTTCTTGTTTGCAGACCAGTCTTTCCATATGGGGATGGGGAAGTCTTGGTGTTGTGCTTTTCCTAATAACTTTTGGACCCTTTGCTATATTTTACTTCGCGTTTTATATCCTCTGCTTTGTGAGTGGGTAAGTATGCTACATACTGTTCGTATATAGTGGAGGTAGAATTTTAACATGCCTGACAGCAATTTGCTCTGAAAATCTGAAATGACTTCTGTGTAATTGTGTGTGTTTAAGCAACTTCAATATGACCAAGTTATTTTTTCTTGAGATCTCAAGTTTATTAAAATCAGGATTTACATATATACATATATATTTATTTAAATGGTGCTTATACTATCTTTGCCAAGAGGAAAAAGATGACTGATTTTTAGTAAACAGATCTAAGTATTTTTAATAGCTACTAGTAGACAAATATTCACATTACACCAATGTTATCTTCGGTTCATTACTTTCTATTACTGTGTTGTTTCTTATCCCAGGTACTTATTAAGAAATTACGTCTTCCTTCCTTCTCGCTAGCTCATTTTCCTATGTAAGATGCTTCATTCATGAGGGAAGCAAACTGGTGTTTTTCTGTATGTATGGAAATGTTGTCTTGGTACACCTTGAACAAGCACATCAGTTCAGAATCTGTAGATATTTAATTTTGTAGACAGGAAGTATGTAATACAATGCTAATAGAAGTAAAAGTTATTACACTGTACATTGTAATGTCTGCCTTACAATCTTTATTTTTTGATGCCAGGCCTAAAAGCATTGGTAGGATAATCTTCCTTCCTCTTAATCATCCAAATGTTCTGCAGAATAGTAACGTTTCTTGGTTCTCCCACACCTGCTTGATTTCTAGTCAGGATTTTTGTCTGATTTTTTTTCCTCTGTGAAATACTGTTCTTATTGGGTACAGTAAAGTATGTATGTCCTACTGAAAAGTACAATAGAGTTAAGTTGCTAGAACTGGAGATGCTGTTTGGGTTTAAACAATGTAAAACATAAAATCCTATCCATGAGAATTCAGAGTTATCAGTTTACTAGATTGATGAGTTAGTTAAAGGCATCTACTCAAAAATTAGCTTGTCTGTATGTTCAATGAACATTAAGACATTATAATTACAAAATAAACAAAGAGAATTTGACAAAGCAGATAATGATAACAAAAAGAGAATAGATAGAAAGCTTACCCATATCCTGGGCTCACTTACAAAATGGCAGCAGAGCAGATCTCCAGAAGAGATCCTTCCCTCCTGGCAGTCAGCTCTTAAATGGGTCTGGGAGAGGTGCAGCCAGGCTCCACCCCTTCCAGCAGCACAGGAGAATTGCCTTCACCTGTGCTTCCATGGCTGACTCAGTGCTCACCTCAGGCGATCAATCAGAGGTTCAGGCCATGACTCAGCAGTTCCCATACATTGTCTTACTGAATTTTGATACATATACGATTGGCATATTTTGCTGACTGTAGAACATCAATGTACTTTGATTTACTGTTGTAGTTAGTCAATGAACCTTTACCATCCCAGATCTAAAATCATCTTCTGGCAATGTTAAATTCAGTTAAAGCAGAATCTGTATCCATTTTCCTATTATGTGTTTACTTATTTGGACAGATATGAGGTCTTCGTTGTTCCAATACAGTCATTAGTTTAATATACACATCTTCTTGGCTAAGTCTCTGAGCTGGCCCTTTATTACTCTGTTGATCTTATCAGATGTGTAATACTTAAGTTAAAGCCAGCATACAGCATACATTAGTTCTAAGTTGTTCAAATGGCTTTATTTCCAAAATTTTCCTGCATGCTTTTCCTTTTTGAATTAATTCCTATGAGGCTATGAAAAATGCTTGCTCCTGTTTTTCTTACCTTGATTAGAAATAATATAACATCAGTTTCATAAGTTCTGAAAATAATAATTTAATTTTGATTCATTTGTAAAAGCTTTTTTAACAATTACATTGCCCTTATTTGGAGCAGAGTAACAAATCTGAATCTGTTCTGTTATGCTGAAATTTTGAATTGTTAAACAATTTGGCATGCAGTTTTTTAGCTTTATTGCACTTGTTCATAAATGATGGTTTATATCAATGGTTTGGGATTTCAACTAGCTGGCAGTCTGCTTCTGTCCCATTCTGCAGTTCAAACAGGAGAAAATGTTGAATTATAGTTGACTGCATCCTGAATATCAACTTGAATTTTTGTAGTGTATGCCAGTGAGTTGTGAAGAAAAATGCTGATGCTATAGCTGTATCAACATGATGTTTTTCTACCATTTTACTTCAGTTTTGTGGTATTTAGCTATTTTTTGTATATTAAATATGCATTTCTTCCTACAAGCACAGCTAGCTTGTAGTGTGTTATTGTTATTTGCATGAATGAAACTGTTTCTGCATATGAATAAAAGATTTAAACCAAAAATTGTCTTTGTTTAATTTTATTCTTTTTTTTTTAATCAGGACTCATTTCCAAAATATTAGGTTTTGTTCTTTGCATGTTTTCTAATACCTTTTCCTTCAATTTGGGATTTGAAAACTGATCACTTAGGAAATTCACTCAGCTCTTTCTACCAAACAAGAGGAGAGATTGTTTCTTTAACCTTTACAGCCAAGATGATTACAAGGCATTGAGCTTTACAACATATTTTTTTTTTGCCTCTGCTTCAAGTATTGTTGCAATTCCATTCACCTTAGTCCTCAGCCTGTCTTTTACCTGTCCTCTCTTTGTATCATGTGTGTTTCTTACTTTACCTTACTCTTTCTCCTTCTGTCATTGAATCTCAAAGTAGTGAAATGAGAACAACGTTATTTGCGGTTCTGCCAGTAGCTGATGTTGCCAGAACTAAAATTTCTTAGACCCGCAATCACTGACATATAAAGCAATTTGCTCTGTTAAAAAAGCGTTATTATCGATGCTTAATCATATGCATATGTATGTGTTGCCTGCCTACACTGGTTAGTTCAATTCCTGGCCAGATTGAGAATGACTGTGAAGCTGCATTTTGACTTCCACAGAGCATTCCGCTGAGGTTGTTACTTTTCACACTTGATGGAAAAATGATAAATCTGTTGCCTTCATTTTTCTGTCTTTCACCATTGTTCTAGTGTTAATCTGTCCTTGTGAGAAGGTGATCTTACAATATCTTTGGAAGAACTTCAAACTGGGAACTATGGTCTCATTCCAATAATTTCTAGAAGACTAAAATGATTTTGCATTTACTGAATTTTATATCCTCTTGATTAATTGGATTAGCATTTGCGCTGGAAGCTTCTGATTAGCTAACAGCTATACTAAATAGTGAGGCTATGTATACTTCTCTAATATACTCAAGATTTTTAAGCTCAAGAAGAAAATGTATTAATTTCTGCTCTGGAGGCAGAAGTTCTTAGCTTATCTAGCTTAAAAATGGAAATGTATATAGGATGATGGACATACATTTCAACTACATTGGTAGCATATGAGTATTTCTGAATGAGTGTAGTTTTTGACACTTGAAACATGTCAAAATGTTTGAGAGAAAAAAGATTCATAATGTATAGCTTGTTACTTTCAAGGCTTTTTCTTTAAAAGTAGATGGAGATTTCTAGTAGAAAATTGATAGATAACAAATGAATTAAGTCTAAGTGATGAGTGAAAAAAAATTACCATTTTTAGCATAATGAAACAAATACTGGGAAGGTTTATAAGCAAGTTTTTGTCCTTGAACTGAATTGAAATGATAATAGTGCTGTCAGTGTTATGATTTGAAAGCTATCTGGGAGCATCTAGAGCAGAAAAGCAATTAGAACTCATAATTTTTTTTTGTTTATTGTCTTTCATTCATATGTAAAGAGTGTTTGTGATTGGCAGATAAAGAGGGTGCTCTAGGCCATAAGGAAATCAGAGTGTCAAGCGAAATATTCTTCTTTATGAAGTTACCCATAATAATTTTGTGTAGCTTTTTTTTTGGCCTTAACGTATTAGAGTATAAATGACAACTCCCTACTTCTGAATTACTAACCACTAAAGAGCTTATGAAGAATGGTTCCCAGTTTATGGGTTAAAACCTTTAAATGTTTTATTTTTGTCTGCTTTAGATATGTTGGTTAGAAATTATATTCTAATCATACATGAAGAATGCTGTATAACAGGAAAAATCTATGCTAAAATAATGTTATTTCAGGACATTTCTAGGCTGGGACAGCTTTGTGAGATCGTACGGTCACGAGTGTTCATCTGCTGGCCTTTAAATTGAATAGTTAAAAAGCTATGCGTTTTCAGCCATCCCAAGGCTAGTCTTGAGCAGCAGTAACTTCTCAGTGTTCTTTATGCTTAACTTTTCAAAGGCTGCTTACTTCAGTTGTGCTATAATTGGCACAGTCTTTATGTTTTCAACTGTTCCTTATTAAAACAGGCTTTATGTTTTTGCACCCTGGTGTTATAAGCTGTAAATTATTCCTGTTGCAGCAAAATTGAATTTATTGTAATAGTTATTTTCTCTTGTGCATTCATTATATCACAAACAACAACAACAAAAAAAATAAAAATAGCTGTTGTCCTGCTTAAGTCATGATTTAAATATTATTGTGAAGTTGTGAGGGTGAAAAGATAATGAATTTCTAACATAAAATTTAAAAAAAATAAGTGGTCCAGGAGTATGCTTGTCTTTAGAGTTTATATATTGACTTAAATAAACAAAGCCAAAACCCCAAACCATTATGTTCAAATTATTTTTTCCTGTAGTCTTTTTTTCTTGTCTCTCTGTTCCTACATGCCTTGGTGAGACTACTTGATTTTTTTTTATCATTTCAGTTTAATGTATATTCTTATTCTTTCTACATTTGATATATCAATTTCTTCCCGGTGCTTTTGTGGTTCTTGTAAGGTTCTGGAACAGGTTGCCCAGAGAAGCTGTAGATGCCCCATCCCTGGAAGAGTTCAAGGCCAGGTTTGATGGGGAGCTGGGCAGCCTGATCTAGTGGGTGGCAAACTTGCCCATGGCTGGGGTTTGGAACTAAATGATCTTTGAGGGCCTTTCCAACCTAAGCCATTCTGTGCTTTTATGATAAGACTGGGAAACTTTTTGTGTAGTATTGTGTTGGTTATTTTGTGTAACAAGATGCATTGGAAGAGCCTTACCCAATGATAACAGGTGAAAGTCACTATATACTGGTATTTCATAACTTCCTGCGTGATGTTTTCTAGTGGGGAGACAAAAAAGACTGTTGTTCTATTTGGTGTTTCTTTTTCAATTTTAGGGGTTTTGTGGTTACTCTTTTATTTGGAAAAAGCAACTCAGAAAAGTACCTTGAGCAGTGTGAACATTCATTTCTTCCTTGTACATCAGTTGGTATCCCTAAGGTAAGGAGACTTTACTGTCCTTAATTTGTAGATCAGATTTTATAGCTCTAAAACTGTGAGTTCTAAGTTACTTAATTTTAGTCTAAAAATTATAAATGTACCAATTTTCCAAGAATAAATGATCCTGCCTTTTTGTTTTCAGTCAACTGCAAAAGTATTTATGAAAGTACAATGCAAGATTTTTCCTTCTAGAAATACAAACAAATACAGCAGTTATGGGAAGTTTCTTTCAAGTATTGTTCCTAGCTTCATAATGTCAAATGACTTATCTTTTGACTTAGGGCCAAGGAAAAATAATGGAAATGCAAATATGAATGTGGAGGAGCAACATGATCCCCTTTCCAACTTTGTTTCTGAAATTTTAACAGGCAGATCATCTTGGTTAGAAGTTCTAAATTCAGGCTTCCTAATTGCATAAATATGCGTCTGTTTAGAACAGGTTCGTAATAGCTAACTCAGATATGGAATTACTGTAAATTCCTAGTTTATGAACCTATGTATCTTGACAGGTATATCTTGCCATAATTGGTTTGAACTCCTCAGAATAGAAAAAATGCATGAACCTGAAGATTGCTAGTTATGTTATGATGATTAGTCTTCCATACGTTTCACCTGAGACATCCTTCAGCCATTAGATAGTCAATCATTATGATGTTTGTGATGAGGGGGTTTCAACTTTATTATCAGTAGCACATTTAAAGAAATGTGCATTGAGATTCAGCAGTACGTTTTCTAATTGCAGTTTTTTTGTGACTCATTCATAGCTCAGTTGGAAAGTTAACTTTTCTCTTAAGTCTCAGATGTATCTTAGAAACAAAAAACTCAAGTATATTCTAACCTGAGTGTAAATTCATTGGTCTAAATGAAAAGTTTAAGGCTTTATTGCCGCTTTTTGAAAAGGAGTAGGCAAATTAATGTTTCTACTTTCTCTTCTATTTAAT